AAATATGGAAGCAGGAAAAACAGTTTTCCCAATTTACAATAAAATACACAACAAGGAAAAAGTGTTTTCCCAATTTTTTTCCAAAATATGCAACCAGGAAAAGCTCCTTTCCCAATTTACACCTAAATATGGAACCAGGAAAAACTGTTTTCTCTATTTACACAGAAATATGGAACAAGGAAAAACTGGTTTTCCATCTTTTTCCAAAATATGGAACAAGGAAAAGCTGCTTTCCCAATTTACATGAAATATGGAATAAGGAAAAGTTGTTTCCCTAATTTACACCAAAATATGGAACCAGGAAAAACTGTTTTCTCTATTTACACAGAAATATGGAACAAGGAAAAACTGGTTTTCCATCTTTTTCCAAAATATGGAACAAGGAAAAGCTGCTTTCCCAATTTACATGAAATATGGAATAAGGAAAAGTTGTTTCCCTAATTTACACCAAAATATGGAACCAGGAAAAACTGCTTTCCCAATTTACAACAAAATACACAACAAGGAAAAAGTGTTTTCCCAATTTTTTTCCAAAATATGCAACCAGGAAAAGCTCCTTTCCCAATTTACACCCAAAGATGGAACAAGGAAAAGCTGCTTTCCCAATTTACACCCAAATATGGAACCAAAAAAAACCTGTTTTCTTAATTTACACCAAAATATGGATCCAGGAAAAGCTCCTTTCCCTATTTACATGAAATGGGGATGGAGGGACAGGACACAGGGAATGGCTTCCCAGGGTTAGATGGGATATTGGGAAGGAATTCTTCCCTGGGAAGGTGGGGAGGGGCTGGGCTGGAATTCCCAGCGAAGCTGTGGCTGCCCCATCCCTGGAAATGTCCAAGGCCAGGTCGGAGCAACCTGGGATGGTGGAAGGCGTCCCTTCCATGGAATTCCATGATCTTTCTTCTCCCTTCCAACCCAAACCATTCCATGATTCTCTGAACGACCCCATCAGCTCCCGGAAATGGGAACGTGGCTTTTCCTTTCCCGTTTCCAAGGGATACAACCAACCCACCACGAGACCACAAATATTTGCCCACGTGAAAACATTCCCATGGATCCAGCTGCCGTTGGGAAGGAGGGAGGAACTTTGCTCCCCGACCACTTTGGACTTTTCCCCGCTTGGAAAGGTTGAGAAACAAATCCCTGCACCGACAGTGGTAAATATTTGGATTAGGAATGTGGTTTGGATGTTCAGCTGGACCGGAACCGCTCGGCAGAGCTTTTCCTGGATTCTGTGTCGATCCAGGGATCTGGATTTGTCCCAGTTTAGTGCAGTTACAGCCCCAACATTCGCACCTTGCAGGACCTGGGGAATCCATGGTTCCTCCACGATGTCCCAACACCTCCTCTGACCTCCATGGAATAGTCATCCCAAAGTTTTCCAGAAGAATTTTGGGACA